TTTGTTTTTATATACAAATTATTCTGGTTTTTTCATCTAAAAAAAAGACCACATTAATTTATTGATGACCTAATAGTTAATATGTAAAGTTTAGTGATTTTTAGTTATTATGGTATGAATTTTAACATCTGGTTAATGCTCATATAAATATGCAAAGAAGTTAGTGTAATGGGTATAGGCAATGACACATACTTGATTCTATGGATTGCAAATGTAGGGAACTAAATGAATTGTTACATTGTTAGAAAAGGAATTGTTACATTGTTAGAAAAGGAATTGTTACATTGTTAGAAAATGAATTGTTACATTGTTAGAAAAGGAATTGTTACATTGTTAGAAAATGAATTGTTACATTGTTAGAAAAGGAATTGTTACATTGTTAGAAAATGAATTGTTACATTGTTAGAAAAGGAATTGTTACATTGTTAGAAAATGAATTCAAACTGTAATGTCAGCAGACATAGTTTTCATATCAGTCATGCTAAGAGTATACTTAGTGTATCTTTGAAGATACTTTTTATTATTTCAGCCTGTTGGAAGATCGTAAAGAGCATGTTACCAGCTGAAGCATCACGAAGGTTTAAGTTCATCAACAATTCATCTATTAAAGATTATATAGCTCTTGACCAGCTGCCTGTCCACCTAGGAGGCTCTGTATGTGTAGTTTTCTTTAAATTTATTTTCTTTTATTTTTTAGTAAGTTTTTCAAAAGCAAGTTATCTGGCAGCTACATATATTTTCTATTTTTAGTTTGTTTTCATTCCTGTATATAAATATGTAATTAGCAAAGAAAAACAAAAAATATTTTCATGGTGTAAGCTGTTAATAAGAGCAGCACAAAAGTGTATATTTAAATGCAATGTTGAAATATAATGTTTGTATTTATAATTAAACTTGACAGATTAACAGAAGCCATTGACTTCTATAATTAAACCATATGTAAGTCATTTAGGGAAATTGTGCTTATATTTTTATTTAAACTTAGCTGAAATGACACTGAAGTGTATATACCTAAAACTAAATTTGCAAATAAATTGCTGAATGATGTTATATAAATACATACTGTGTATCACTGCAGTATGTCTTTATATAAGTGTTTGTGTGTATAAATGAAATGTAAAATTTTGAAATTAATTGCAGATCTAAAGCTGTTATTTAAAGAGATAATGGACATTAATTGTATGAACTAAAATTTGCAGGTTATTTAAAACCATATCTGATATGTTTCAATAAATAATGAAAGATTTGCTTGGTAAAGATTTTGTTGAAAGATGCTAGTCTAGAAAGGTTGTAAAACAAGTATGCCATCTTCTCAGCATCTAATAAAATGTTCATTGATTCAAACCAGCGCTTTTATAAATATAAAAATAGCTTTTTTGTTTTTACATAGTGTACCTTAGACTATGGTATTATTCAGTCTAATGGCAAAGAAAGTGAACTTTCCAATGACATAAGAATAAATCCAAGTAAAAAAAAGGCAAGTATTTTTTTATTGGGTCTACTAACATACTTTTTTCTCTTGTTATTCACTCCGTCTCTTTAACACAGGGAATATGTAATTCATTAATAAGTTTTTAGTTTATTTGGTATGGTAAGATTTGTTTCTTATATATGAAGTAAGAAATCAGAAAGTATGTTTTCTGCTAAAGTAAACAATACTCATGATGTTTTTGCCTGTTTTACATTTTCAAAAACTATCTTTACAATAATTATCTTGTACTCATTTCCCTTTCTCAAGAGTATTTTAATGTTACATTTCCTGATTGTGTGAACCTTGTACAAATTTTATCAATCCATGCAGTAAGCTGTATAACTGTGATCTTTTGGTGATTGTACATATATACAAGTTTATTGACCAAATATATTGTCAAACAATATCTTAAGTTGTGCTGAATTACAGTAATTGATACAAAATGTTACTTAGAGATGGAATGGAAATATTAACAAATTCTATGGATTAAGAAATGTACAGACATCGATAAATGACCTAACCATGTGTGGAACTATTAACTCTTTTTCAGCATGGGCTCGGTCCCTGGGACTGACCTCAACCATTTTCTGCTTGTTATAGTTTTCATGCTATAACTTTTAGATTAGTAAGCAAATGTTAACGAAATTTGGCAGATTATCAGAATACATTACAATGCTTTCATACGCAAAATATCAATTTTTTTATTAAGTCTTAAGGTTTGTAAAGCAATGTTTTTCTCATTTCTTTTTTTTTTCTCTTCACATGTTGCCTATCTATCATGCAAAGTAATTTTCATTTTAAGA